ACTGTTTTCCTCACTTATTTGTTTAAATAAAAAAGTTAGCTAAAGAAAGTGATTCACGAGATGAGAGATGTCTTGTATTATGTTCCTTTAGACAATTTTACAATAATCTCGCGGATAGGACCTTTTTCGAGTTTCTCTTTTATTTTCGCTAATTTTCCTGGTGTAATTGTATTAGGAGAAAATATGAAAGAAGTTTCGTTAGCTTACCACTATTCTTCCGTTTGTGTGAGGTGAAGCACTTAGAGTTGCTCCGAACCATTGTTGAGATTTGTCGTCTAGAACCTTGTTTCCGAATCTATTGTAACCTGCGACAAAATAATACAACATAAAATAAAAGTAAATAAGTACATAAAAATGCTGAAAAAGAGAGGGTTTTTGCAAACAACTAAGGAAAAAAAATAAGCAAAGATACGGACATTTTTCTAAAATTATGAAAATTTCTTATATTTAAATATCACTGCTATTCAAAATTATGTTTAGAAGAATCCTGAATTGTTATATTAAAAGAAGTAATGTTCTCTTTACATTTATTATATTTATAAATATTTTTTCTCCAACCGTCCAAAAACGATGACTTTTTTTGACTGTCTGAAGTCTGTAAGGTTGACATTTTCCTTACTGAGAAAAAAAATGGTATCTCGGCAACAAAAGTAATACTTTTAATTCTAATATAACAATTAGACCAGTACTTAAGCCTTCAAAAATGGTAAAAAGTGAAAAAAAATTATAGTAGGATGAAACCCATTGGAAAAGGAAGAGAATATAACAGAAATGAAAAGAAAAATAATTTACGGGCGATCTGAGGTCGGGAAGGGGAAGGGGGTGAGTTTTTAAGGGTAAAAAACGGTTTATCTTGATTTCCGGAAAAACTACAAGTCTTATGGAAAAAACGTTAAATGGCAAAGTTGTAGGTAATAAAAAGATCTACAACTTTTGTATAATAAAAAACCAAAAACTTGGTTATTTGAATTTTTCACATAAATTTTGAGGTTATGTGAAAAAAGTGTAAATACAAAAGTTGTAGATCTTTTTATTACCTACAACTTTGTCATTCAACTTTTTTCCAGAAGACTTGTAGTTTTTCTGGAAATCAAGGGAAACCGTTTTTTACCCTTAAAAACTCACCCCCTATCCCTTCCCGACCTCAGATCTCCCGTAAATTATTTTTCCTTTCATTTTTGTTATATTCTCTTTCTTTTCCAATGGGTTTCATCCTACTATAATTTTTTTTGGTTTCAAAAATTATCGACCCTGGTCTAAATATACTGGGGAAGATTTTATACGTTATAACTTTACTAATTTCAGTGAACACTGTTTTTTTAACACAAATGGTTATAGCATCATTTTTAGACGCGAATTAAAATTTATAATATTTTTGCATTCTTAAGTGTCATTTTCTAAAAGAGTATGGAGTATTCTTTTTAATTGGCAACGAAGAATGCAAAAGGTACATTGCAAATTCATACCACTGAAATTACAAGGAATAAAATGTCCGGCGATGTTATTAATCAAATTTATGTTTGGAAAATTAATCGTTTACATGCGTAAAACGACGTTGTGTAAATAATGATTCATGAGGCAAAATGTGAGAAAATAATTAACAACTTTGCCTTATTCTCAGAGTTTAGAACCGTGGGCGATCCGAGAGAAATATGATCTCCCATAGCGTTGTTTATTTGTGACAATAGACGACGTTACAGTATTTATATTATTGAACATCCCAGTTAATAACAATAAAATATGCCTTGCCGTCTTAATGTGTGGTAAACAAAGCGATGTGAACTTAAAATGTGTTTAACTAGTTGCAGAAATGTCGATAGCGGGGATCGTACAGTCAGGAAAGTTATTGTCCTCGCAGGATATGAAAATAGAGACGTACGTTTTGATTTTAACACGATTTTGAAAAGTTTTGGCCTCCACGTAGAACTAGAAAAAGGTAGGTAAATTTTAAACAGCACCTCAAATGATTTGAATAACAAATCGATTCTTCTGAGATGCGCAGTGGTCAATAACTTTCATTAATTTACTTTATCAACAATTTTTTATACCGAGCATAGCTGAAGCGCTCGGTCTTTCTTGTCTCATTGTATTTCTTGAAAATTTTCGGCTATTACAACAGGGAGGGACACAATATTTTTCTAAACTTCACACTTTCGGAACAGCACTACACAAGTTGATACAGCTGTAATATAGAAACTATGTCCTCAACAGTATAAAAATTTATATTTTAAAACATGTTCTTGTTCATGTCATGTTTAAACATGTGTTTAATCGTACCTTATTTTAGAAATAAGAAAGGGTTCAATTTCTCACAATCCTTTTATTTTTAAAAAAGACTACCGGTTTCGATGTCTTACAAGGTTACAATATATAATAATTTTTCTAAAAAATAAGTCAGATTATGTTTAATTTTAGTTTTATAGAAGTCACATTGTGTTTTATTTTATTAACCTATTTAATTATTATTAATTTTTACAGATATAAACTATTTGATTTTTTTGAATTATTTCTTAAGTTGTACCTTTCTTAAAAACTGTTAAATTTAAGAATTGTGAGAAACTGGACCCTTTCTTATTTCTAAAATAAAAATGGAAAATTCACATTTATCAATTTTGAAAATTATTGAAAAATAATTCGGAAACTTTTTTAGTATTTAAATCAATCTGCATGAAATAATTGAGTCACTATTATAATCTATGTTTAATTTCTACAGTCAATGTTATAGGTCACATTACTGACATTTTTTTTTAATCGGACGGCTATCTATTTATACTATAAAATATACAGCGCCCTATTAAAAAAAATTATCTGTAAAACATGGCTTAAGAAAATTGAAAATATTGCACAAGGGTAACAATTTCTATTTACTAATTGACCTGTTTCAGCAATTTTTTTAAATTTCAACTGAACAAAATACGAATTTTGTATAGTAAAACAAAGTGCTCGCTCTCATTACCTTTCTTCTTCATTTCCATTCTTTATTAATATACAGAGTGTCCCAAAAAGACCCGAACCTCTCCGATAGTTTGACAGGATTGTGTCATAAAAAAGTTGCAGATAAAAACTGTAGCATATCAAAAACCATATCACTAAATATCTCCATTAGCGCGTATTTCAAAAAGTTCGGTTATTTTTTTAACAGACCTCGTACATATTAAAATAAAAGTACGTATTAATTTTTGTTTCAACAAATCACCTTTGCTTGCGAAGCACTACGCTTTCGGAGACATAATTAAGTTAGCAATATCTGTTATGGAATAATTTGATTAAACCGAAGTGAATAAACGTACTGGATTATCGACACACACACACACACACACGTCGCGGTTGTGGGTTGATTCTACCTTTACCTGGATTGCCTAACAAGGTCTTGGTTAAAATATGAAATTACGACCTACGGCATAACTGACACAGATAAAAACATTCGACTATTAAGTGTCGCGCACGCCTTCAATGGCGCCTTTTTAAGATTGCGAGATTTTAATAGCTGCTTCGGGATTTTTGGTGTATTCTTGGATATTGTTTTGGTCCATACAGTTTTTTTTGTAAGTAAAATAGCAATATGAACTCGGGAAAACGACGGCTACATACGCCTTAAAAGCTTTAGGATTTACGAACGAAAACTAGACTAGATTTTCATAAAAGAAAGTGGTCTGTGATTAATGTCGGCCAACCCAACTTAGCCGGGAATAAGGAATCGATTTTAGATTTGTTATTATTACGAGTATATTGGAGAGCAATACGTCATGATTTATAAATAGTTAATTCAGCGCTGGATATTGCATTGTAATCAGGACACTAAGCAAATGCAAGCGTTAGTATTTCAAAAACCGCTGTTATGCTAAAAATTAATGTTTTATTGTTCCTTTAAAACATTTTTGTTAGAGCATATTCGAAACAATTTGCAATTTCTTTTCCATAAAAATTCCATTGCGCATTAAGCTTAACATTATCCAAATTGTCGAAATGCCTCGTTTTTTTACCAAAGTTTAGTTCAGGAAACAGAGACAAGTACAAATTAGGAAAAATTCTGTAGAATTGAATGAACTACTTTGCCCCCACTGAATGTTAGGGTTTCACTTTCAAAATGGCGTCCAAAGTTTGCAAATTTTTTCATTAAAAAAAACTGAACATTATAGAAATAAATGTTTTAGACAAAAATTAGAACTTTTTATAACAAAAATGTTGAGCCGAATGTCAATTGATAAACAAATGTATTAGTTATTGCAAAAAACGTCGCATAATCGCATTTTTTCTTATATATCTTTGAAACGAAATAAACATTTTTTACGAAACTTTCAGAATATGTAGTCCTTGGCAAATAGAATGAGTGCATTATTGTAAAATTGCAAAATATTCCATATTTGAGGGGTACCTATAGATGCAAAACTCACATTATCCATAATTTTTCGAAATAGAGTTAGTGGCTCTATCTTGTTCATCGTGTTTAACTACACCATTTTAAAATTTAGAAGAGAATTTAGTACAAACTCACATTTTCGTATTTATTTTTAAATTGAGAAAATTGTGAATTGTTTCAAGTCACATTCTCCTACGATCTGAAGTTGTCAAAACTCACATTATCCATATATCCACCAATGAAAAACCTTAAAGCGATAAACCAATATGGCCGGCTGCCTAAGGAGAACGTGAGTTTTGCTTCTCGTATTGTTTTGCTTTCCTAGATGGTAGGTTCCGTGTTTTTCTATGAGTTTCTGATTATAAGTAAGATAAGTTTAATTCTGAAGTTTCATATTTAAATATCGGATATTAGAACTTTTTACTATCAACATTTTTTGTACTTTGCAATTTTAGATTCATTATAAAAATATTTCACATCACTGATAATAAAACCGTATTCTAAGTATTTTGTATATTACATAAAAGTTTTATTGATATTGAGTTTGTTTCAATGTTCCTTTAACTTTATGAATTTTGGTGTAAAAAATAATATTATGTTGAATAATTTGGAGCAAAACTACCATTATCCAAAAAGTTGTATCAAACTTACATTGTCCAAACTTTAATTCACTTTCTTGGAGTCAAATATTGTTGTGCTGTCATTTCACCAATTAGGAAGCAAAGTTAAAGTTCTAATATAACACCAAAAAAAATTTCAGAGCCTTAAGTCACTTGAAAAGTGAGAAATCAGTTGTTCCCTCTTCCTGAAAAATTTTAAAAAGTGGATAATGTGAGTTTTACATCTATACCCCTCATTTGAAAAAAATACATTTTTTTTCAAGTTTCAATAAATCATACAGTAATACACTTATTGTACTTGCCAAGGACTACATATTCTGAAAGT